CCTTTCCTTCCAAACTTGCTGGGCAGAAATGAGTCTCTCCAACATCTCAAAGACTCAGTCAAAATCCTCTCAAAGTGAACCATTCCGGGCTGCTCGGTTTAGGTGGGGTCTTCATCTCCTCATATCTTTATAACTACATTTCAAAAGGAAGGGTTGAGCAATGTTTGTATATGGTGTTTTTAAGTCTTTGTGTAAGAAATGGTTTCGAAAAAAGCGGCTCTGATACTAATTGTAAAAGTCCAGAACCTTAAAGGAAATGGATTTATAATTTAAATGCGGAAGCGAATAATAGAGTTAGGGTTTACAATACTTACACAATAATTTAGAATGCTCAATAAAGACAAACCGTAATTAAAGAGAACAAAATGAATAAATAAGCATCCTAGGATAACCTTCACTAGCACTTGAAGGAAGTCCAGGTGGTGAACTACAAACAATCCTCTTACTGATCGAGATCTGGATCTTAGTCTTTTTGATCTGAAATAGTTAATGAAAGGGTGAGCTACAGTAGACCAATAAAAATATCACACTAATCATAGATATATAAAACTGAAGATTGGTAAAAATAAGAAAAAAAACTAATGAAGCTCTTACTTTAATTAATTATATTTAACTTAAAGACGTTGTTTGATACTTACCGTTACGAGTTTTCTAAAAAATAACCTATGAAGACCCATATCTATATCACTTTTCATTTTCACACATAAGAGAACAAGAGACGATAATTTTACTTTCTTACTTGTTTACTAGTATCCATAAGGGTTCATAGAGATGTTCTCCTACTCGTGAACCCAATATTCAATTTTAACAGTTAACCATCCCCATACCCCATCTAGTAATGAGCGCCAAACATTCCATCGTCTTGATACCCCATCTGGTATGAGAATGAACCATATCTCCCAAACTTTTTCAATATGGGACTTCTCATTCCCGTCTAACTGAGGTGACGTTTAGGTAAGGTTCCTTATGTACCGATTCCGTTCGCCCTTTTCCTGAGTATCTAGTAAGTCTTTCACATATAGATTCCCATCAAACAAAATAACCGACAAGCGCATACCAATATCTCATATTATATTTGTAGATCAATTAGACGACATTTATGCAGATGATATAAGTTTATTATAATAAGAGATCGAGTAACTAGATAACCGAATAAATCAGATAAAACGATAAGACCATTGAAACTATAAATTAAAAACATGCACAGTACGATAACAAACAAGTAGAATGGTATAGAAAAATAAACAGTAAATTAGGACAATTGTGAACTAACCAGTTCCGCCTCTATTAGTGACCTGTAATTATTTTTAGATCTTTCTAACTTTTCACAAAAATATAAAATTATACATCCTTAAGCCTCAATTTACCTTAATGGAGAATGGGGTGAGGGATCCTTACCTCGATCGGTATTTCAAGATGTTGCACTGTCTACTATGCCTCTTAACGGGTAGTGGATTTCTTGAAATTTTCTTGCAGAATTCAAAACACTCGTCACGTACCTAAAAATACTCCAAAAATCTAAAATCAGTGTCCAAAACTCTTTCCGACCAATTTGGGTTTCGGCATGGCGACGCTGTCGTGCTACGGTGCCGGCTCCGCCATCCACGATAGCAGTTCATCTCGATCTGCCCGATTCTGGCTAGTTTTGACCAGGTTTATACATATCCCTGCAAAAAAATACGTTAGGGGACCTCGGTTAGCCAGAAAATTACAAAAAACTGAACCTACCAGCGATGAGGTCTTCGGGTGCAGCGGCTCTCCCGGTTCTCCTTTGCAGCTGGAACTCTTTCTTTAGTTAACCTGCACAGAAAAAGACAATGAACACAATGATCAAAAAATCGCATGAAATAAGAAGTGGGAAGGGGCTTATCGAAAGAATTTTTTGGTTTTGGTCGCGGTGATTTCGCTGGAATTTGCCCCCAGTTTCTTGCTCACCCACCGTTCCTCTTGCTCCGATATGGCCATAGGGATGCTTAGAATCAAATTTCGAGCGGGTAGGAAGAAATTTTACATTTTTTGGCTGTCGTTGAAGGCTCCGGTGCAACGGCGGTCGACCTTTTTCTTTGGCGGCTGGTTCTTCTTCTCCAGCAGAGGTTGGTGGTTAGGGTTTAGATTCTCCTGCGACATGAGATATTTATACCCATCCCACGTCAATATGAGCCATTCATCGCGATTGATCTCATCCGTCCAGTCGCGCATAAAAAAGAAACGAATATGGACTGTTCATCGCGATTGATCTCGTTCGTCTGATCGTGCTTAAGGAGTGAACGAATATGAGTCGTTCACGTAGGCGAGATCGAACCTAGACCGTCAGATCCCTGAGCACGCGGATCGCCCGCATGGCCTCCCACGTGGTGCCAACGTCAGCGTGTTTTGACACGCGGTGTGTTACGGTTCGTCGGAGCTATTGATTAGGCCGTCCCATGTGATCGAATTTTTTTTTATATTTTGACCCCTTGTTTGTAATTTTTTTTCAAAAATACCTCCCTGAACTCAAATTTTCACACATTTTTCTTAAAATTATTTTCAATCTCATCCCCAATTCATTTTTTCTAAAAAATTCAATAAAATAAAATTAAAATTAATTAATTAATTGTTTTAATTAAATAATTTTATAAAAAAAATTTATCTCGGGCCGCTTTTCGGGTCTGGGTATTAAATTGCACACTTTTATTTCTTTTTCATCTTATTGGATTCCCAGTGAAAGTAATCATGTTGCTCATACATTAGTTAGGGAAGCTTCATTTATCTTTGAACATCAAATGGTTGGGTAGGGTCATCATATTGTTTTAAATGATATTATCTTTCTAAAAAATAAAATAGATATTTAAACTGGTTAATTGCTTAAGTTGAAATTGAATATTAGATTTACATATTCAAATAATAGATAAACAAAATGATATCTGTTTGAGGACAAATTATATAAAGCTAGAATGACATTACATTTTTGTTTGTATCTTGTTGATGACCCACAAAATCCCTCCTTTTAGTGCATATGAAGTAATTATCATATAGTCTAGAAAATAAATAACTACAACATATATCGATGAGTTATGATTACATTAATCTATTATTGCAAGGAAGTCTTTGGACTTTTGAACCTAGTAGTTAGAATATGAAAGAGAACATTGAGAGGCCAAGGTTTTGAGACATGTTAGGCTAATAAGCAAGATGCATAGAAAATGAAGAGTAAAGTTATTAGGTGGGAAAATGGAGGATATGCCCCATTCTTTTTAAACAAAGCAATTAATTGTTAGCTTGGTTATGAAAGAGGAAATTGAAAATTTGGCGGTGCAATTGGAGTTCAAGGCATGGGATATATACTGAGTTAGATGGGTTTGACAGAACTTGATTCCCTTTTTATCCCAAAGTCAAAAATTATAAGTTAAAAGAAAAGTTTGAATGGTCTAATCTTTGGCTTATCATCTCAACAAAATGCTTGTTAAGTAGGCTTTGCCTATACCCAGATACCATGAACATATTCTTCTGCTTATCTCTACAAAAGCTAAATTAGTAAACTATATAATATATATATATATATATACATATACGTTTGACATGAAGATAGAAAATTTGTTAAAATCAAAGTATTGCTTTAGGAATTTGATGCTTCATTCTTTCTTTTGCCAAAGTAGGTAATAATAATAATAACCTGGGTGTTGAATATTGAATATTTGTTTTGCAAATCAAATTATATGCTTTATTTTTGACTATTCTGTATCGACAATAAGAATCATCTATGTTTTATAATAATTCCATGTACATGCATACTGGCATAAAGCTTAAATGACCATGGCGAAAAGCATATGGATTGGTTTAGCTTTCAATTAGTTTTTAACCATAAACCAGAATCTTAATCCAGTGGATTGATGGGAAAGCATGTGGTAAGCACCCTCTAAAGATTCTTGATCTTTTTTTTTTTTTCTTTTTATGTTTTACATTTAATTATGGAATGATTAGTCATAACAGAGATTATTTAATAATGCAGAAAATTAATCCCAAGATTAATGAACAGGGAACTTGTATGTGGTCTATCTTTATTAAACTAATTATAAAATTTTAATTAAAATAAATGTGAACAACAATTAATAAATAATAAAGAAAAAAGAAAAATAAAGACAAGTTTTTAAAATTAATTAAAGAAATTATAGAATAATTAGTTATAAAGAAATAGTCAATAATACTCTTAATATATTAATTAAATATAATTAAAAATAAAATATAAGATTTCATTTAGATTTTTAATTCCTTTCCTTTTTTTTTTTTTAAATTCAACTAAAATTTGTTAAAAAATAAGAATAAAATGTTATGGGTTCAACTCAGGATAATATTTTTATTCTATTAATATTTAAAAATTATGTATATTATCTTATAATAACTAGCGTATGAGTATTATTTAATTAATAATTATAAGAATTTAGTTAAAAAAAAAAAAAAACAAATGGTAATAAAAGAAGGCTGTGGAATCTTATTCAGCTAGGGGGGCTGCTCCTACCTTGGAACAGACTTTCAACATTCAGCATGTGAAAGTAGGCAACTCAATATATAAAGTTTGAAAATCTATTTGGTTCACCCAACAAAAACTCAAAAGTTAGTTTTAAGAGAAAGTACATGAACAAAAATCACATGATATCCATATCATCATCATGTACTACATCCAACATCCAAATATCCAATTACTCAACAGATTTCCTCACTATTAAGCTTTCTGCACTTCACATTATCAACCTGTTTTCTCATAAGCAATCCAAATGAATATATATAACTATGGTACGTACACACATATAAGAAGCTCTTACCCATTTGTTAAATGTTGAAATGAGTGACACCATCATCACCTAT